GCCTCTGGTTTCATCCAACATGGTCATTACACAGATCCATGATTTATGTTCCCATTATCATTCAGATGATGTTCTGTTAGTGACTAAATCAAAGTAAATTAAATCAAAAATACAAATCTGAATGAAATTCAACAAAACCTGGTTCTGATACTTAAATCTTGTTTCCACAGTGTTTTAATGATTGAGAGGTGTCTTTTTTTAAATATATGATGTTATTATGTTGCTGTCTTGCCGCTAGCCAATCGCTGCATTGCTGATCGTGGTTTTGAGTATTGATAGATCTGCCCTTTATGGGGAACACGAGAACGCGCAGTAATCGTAGACAACTTAATCCAGATATTTTTATCAAATCCGCAAATTCGTTTGAAGAACCAAATTAGCCAGAGATCAGTTATCACGATTAGAAGATCTGGCATCTTTCAAATCATCTCAGATGTATTAAGCGAGGTACAAAGAACAGCCCCTGTTGCTGATGATTAGTCATCATATTATGGGAACTGGTCATCTAAGCATGCTATTGATGGATTGTTGACAACTTGGGCCCACTCCAAATTACAGACCGACCCGTGGTGGAGAGTGGATCTACTGAAAGTATACAGAGTGAACAGAGTCACCATCAATAATAGACGCGACTACGCTTGGATGAGAAACGGTGCAGTGGTTCATATCGCGAACTTCCTTGATGTTTACAACAACACAATATGAGGATTTCTTTATCTGATCTGGTTTAAAGTGGCTGCAGGTGAACAGAAACCTATAACAGATGATCTTTCTGTCTGTAGATGTGGTGTGATTTCTACTCTTGCAGCTGGTGCCACGGCCACTTTCTCATGTGGTGGGATGAAGGGACGTTATATGGTTGTTCATATTCCTGGAAATAAATTTCTTACTCTTGTTGAAGTTGGAGTCTACGGGTATATGGCAGGTAATACATTATTATAGCGTATCAGAAGGAATCAGACAATTTCAGATTCAATCAGAACAGTGCTGAAACAACACAAAGAGCCGAATTCCACAAAGAGGCCCAAAACAACGTCACAAATCTGTCCACGATACCCTGGCGCCACGAGTCTGATGTGAGCCTAACGAACTAGCAGCTTTCAACATTAAACAAAAGAACACTTATTGACAATTCCAACTCAGGAAGGAGTGTGTCAAATTTGGGGCAAGTAACCAAGATTAATGGTCAAAGAGATGCACAGCATGACCATCACATGTAAATCCATGATTGAAATCACGAGCTAAAGACTTCCTTGGATTGGTTTCCCTCACCCAGGACAAAGACCAGACTGAGATTCCTTCTAAACCCGTTTGACCTTTGGTCTTCACAATACATGTTTTCACGTTCACAGAATGGCACAGAAACTGCCTTTACATGTACTAAATTATGTAAATTATGTTAAAAGGACTTATGAGCAACTAATCATTTCTATGCATAACTCCAAATTATCCACACATTACACACATTAGACTATCATGTCCTAATCACTCGTTGTGTATGTCTTTTGAATAACTATTGAATAGTTTATAGGTTTATATTCATGTTGGGTATGTATGAGTTTGAA